AAAAAATCAAAGGGGGTTAAATTTTTTTTTTTTTCTCCCCCTTCCCTAAAATTGAAAGGGGTAAAAAAAAAAAAAAAAAAAAAAAAAACTTAGCATGTTACAATTTTTGACGAATCCATTGTTTTTTTTTTATTTTTATTTAAAAATTATTATTTGGGGGGAATTGTCATCGATTAAAAAAATTAATTACTTTTTTCCTTTGTAAATATTATTTTTTTAAATAAACTAAAAGAACAGGGATTAATGAAACTTTACTAAAACATAAAAAACTAATGCCAATAAAATATTGGGGGAAGTTAAAAAAAAAAAAAAATTAAGAAAATTAAAAAAAATTTTTTTTTTTTTTTTTTTTTTGGAATATTTAATTTTCGTCAATTAAAAAAAAAAAAAAGAAAAAAAAAAATGAGCGTTTTTATTATTGTAATTAGCGGCTTTGAAACAATGGAACCACGAAAAAAACAACTTTTTTGTTCTCCCTCTCAACTCTTTCGTATATTACCAGAGTTGTCCCTCTTTATCCGTGGCGGGTACCTCGATTACACGAGGTTTGTCAATTATTCGAGCAGTTCTATTACCCTTTTCAACGATTCCAATAATCCACGCTTGATATCCTTCTTGTTTTTCGATATCTTTGCAATAAGCGGCCGCTTGTTCCCTTGGTAAACAAATTAATAAACCACCTAAAATAAATTTAAGTTATTGGTACCTTGCACGATTTAAAAGTCTCGAGAAAACCGATTTGTTGTTTTCAATCATCATCAGAATTACGTCCCAAATTTTCAGCATATTTAAAATAAGCGGGTATTTTTCATCAGGAAAATAAATATTAAGAAAAAAAAAAATTTCCAAAAAAAGTTCAATTAAAAACCTGAAGTTTCAGCTGAATGGCCTTGTAATAATTGAAACATGTTTCCACAGCACTTGGCGACAGCTCCCATTTTTGCCAATACTGGTAAATTGTGTATGACAAATGCAACTTCATTTTTCTGCTGCCTGGCAAGATTTTGTGCATGCCCTAAAAGACCAAAACCTCCTACGTCTGTCGCTCCGTGTGCATTGTATTTATGCATTAATCTGGCAGCTGTGTTAAAAAAATAACTTGTAATTTCAAATTTGATTATCAAAACTCTTGATGAATGACCATTTTAGTTACCAATTCTATTTAATCTGGCCATAGAATCCATAGCTCTGTGATAAGCTTTTCTTACATCTTCTTCTGAAACTACAAGTTTAATACGATTCCAACGTTCTGGTTGATCCAGCCACTGATGTGCATTACCAGCAACCTGAGTTCCAAGAGGTTTTGTTAAAACTAATACATCTCCCACAACAGCATTATCAGGACTGGAAAATAAAAATTAACTCTCAAAACTTTAATGGACCTACTGATGATGTTTCACCCAAATTGAGATATCTTACACAATATATTGATTGGGTTGACATATAGTTGATGCAACACCACCAATGGAACACCAAGGATTAACTACAGTTTGCCCACCTGACACTGAACTACCTGCTTCAAGAGCACAATCCTGAAATGTTTTGCCAATTAAATTATTGAATTTATTCAATTATTTAAAAGATCATTATTTCACTGAAAAATAACCACAAACGAAAAAAAAAAATTAATAAAATTATTAAAACGGTGGTGAAAACTTTCAATTGAAAGTAAAATTAATAAATCTGAAATTAAGAATACAAATCTGCCTAGTGATTAAAAAAAAAAAAATTATAAAATTTTACCTTAACTTTTTTTTTTTGTTAGAGGTAGTCCGTTAAAAAATCTAATCCTTTAAGGTTTACCTTAAATCCAGTCATCATAAGAGGAATAACTACATCTCTTTCTTTGTCCGCCATTTTTGTTGAAATACTCAAAAGCATCAACATGTTATCGCATTCTGTAACACCCATTGCATACAATCCGGATAGAACGTGAGCACATGCAATTTTTCCCATCATGTAGGGGTCATCAACCAACGGATATAAAATATCAGTGGTTTGAACCAAACACAGTCCCCCATGTCGAAGTGGGGTAAGAGATGATCCAAGACCAAATCCTATACCAATTAAAAAACAATTTTACTATTTAAAAAAAAAATTTATTTTCATTGTTAAAAAAAAAAAAAAACGAATTGCTGATACCGACCATTGTAATAAAAAAAAAAAAAAACAGTTAATTATTCGAAAAATAATAAACGACCTTGAACTCTAAATAATAGTTTTTCAAAAAACACAATTATTATTGAATAAATTTCATTAATTACTATCAACAATTAAAACTTACTGCAATTTTTAAAAAAAAATTTATAATAAAATTACCGGCCGGCAAGCTGAATTTAAAATTTAAAAAAATCGTGCATGCAGGACGCATTGACCCAAGGGGCCAAAATCACTTACCGACTCTAGGAATTTCCATGTGCATAAAATGTGCATGTTCATAATCTTGAGCACTATTATCGTCTTGCTGAAGTCCCTCTAAGAGTTTCGAAAGAACCTCTTGAGGGACTTTACACCCTCATCCTTTTAAATCAGCAAAACGAGTGAGTCGGAAAGTAGCATCCAACTCATGTGCCACAGGATCAAAAGGTCTTCTTAATGCTAAAGAATTAGGATTTCCTTCTAATTCCAGATGCACAACTGGAAGTTGTTCTTGATAAACAGGAGCGGCATGAAATTCAGCCATTCCTGGTTGTACACTTTGACGATAAATCTTTGAAACTTTTTTAACACACCACAAAATTTATAAGAGCAAAATCGCTTGGACTTCGCTAGATCTCTAAAATGGCGTCCTCTCACAATAAACGATGGAGAAGAAAGAGATGGATGCATCGCATCGCTCTATAAAAACTCCCTTAAAACCGTTTAAATGACACGCGATTGGCTCATTTTAAATTAAACTTTAGGAGGCAACCAATCAAAATGAAGGACGTACAGAAATGTCAGAGCGGAAATCTTCAAAATTTACTTTAAAAAGAAATAAAATCTGTGCGATATTTTTCTTTTTTTTTTCTTTTTTTTCTTTCTTTTTTTTTGTTTTTGTTAATAATTCTAAATAACTTTTATTTAATTTTAAAAAAGTTTTAAAGTTTTAGTTTAACAATTTAAATGACCTTTTTTAAAGTGTTACACAAACCGTTTTAAAAAAAATTTTATCGGAAATAGTATCAAACATACTGTTTAATTTCAATTTGCTTTTCATTATAGAAATTCATTTTTTGCATTTTTAATTCTTACGTAATTTAATTAAACAAAAAATAAATTCAAAAATTCTTTACAACGTTTAAAATTCATCATCCGAATATATTAAACACTTTTATAATAAATTTAATTTCATTTTACGCATTTAATAAAACCTCAACGTTACTAAAACAAGTAACAATATTCGTTATAATACTAAAATACAATAATAATAATAATATTCTAACAAATAAAGGAAAGGAAAATTAAATAAAAAAACAATTTTTTATTTTATTATATATATAATTTTTATTTAATTTATCTCATTTAAATGATTTTTGATTAATACTTATAAAACAGAGTACGAAAAAAAATTAGATCTAAAAAAAATGAGTATAATACAATGTGTGACGCCTCTTAACCAACAACAACAACAACAAAAAAATTATATATGTAATAAACACAAAGAAAATTTATATTATACTAACTCTAATCGATTATGAATCCTTTTTTTTTTTCAAATAAGGCTGTATTTAAAATTGAGATTCTTTAAAAATCTATGTCGAATTAATTTTATACTATATGACAAAGAAAACCAAGACCGAATAACAATACTATTAAATAAAATTAAATAAATTGGAAAAAAAAAAAGCAAAAACAAAAAATTTTAGAAAACTATTTAAGAGAACAAAAAAAACAAACAATAAGGTCCCAAAAAAGTTTTAAAAAAAAGGCTAAGAACTGTATATGATTCAGTCATTTTTTGTTTTTTTTTTTTTTTAGCATTTTGAATAACAATTAAAAAATCAGACATATATATATAAATAAATTATAACTCACATCAAACATGTTGAGAGTTTTAACAAAACTTATTAGTACAAATAATAATAATAATAGTAATAATAGAAAAAGAAAAAAAAAAGAACAAATTGACAACGATGATTATTATTATTACTGTTATTATTATTATAATTTTTACTAATATGAGATTATTTAATACAAAAATATTTATATATATATATATATATATATATATATATATATATGCTTAACATATACATTTAATTTTATTTATGAAATATATTTATATATATATATATTAAAAAAAAAGAATTCTTGTTTAATTTATTATTTCTATTAAATAATTGATTGAAATTTTCAAATACCATAATAAAATATCTCATCACAATGTCTTCCATTTTAAAATTTCCATGGAAAAATCCAAAATGTAAAAAAAAAAAAAAAAATTTTTTTAAATAATTAAAAAAAAGAAGTTATCATTTAGATAATTACACCGAACCTTTTATTATTATTATTATTATTATTATTATTATTATTATTTTTTAAATCAGTCTGAATTTAATGATTTTATTTATTATTGGACGGTTTACATTTAAAAAAAAAAAAAAAAATTTTTTTTTTCTTATTTTTCTTTTTCTCTTTTTTTTTTTTTTTTTTTACAAATGCAACTAAATTATTATTATTATTATTTTAAAAATTATTATATTCATGCAGTCAAAAACAATTTATTAATTAATTAATAATCGATTAAAACAAGAATTCTTATTATTAATATTAAATATATATATATATATATATATATATATATATATATATATATATATATATATATATATAAATATAAATCAGATAATTATTGCAATATATTAAATGCATTATTTAATTTTATATAAAAAAAATGGGGGGAGGGGGGGGGGAGAAGAAAAAAGAAAATATCTAACTGCTGACAAAAGCAATCAATCAAAGCACTTATTTTTTTTTTTTCTTTTAAGATATAAATAAATAAAATAAATCTTGATAATTTTTTTTTCTTTTTGTGTTATACACGCACTTATTCATATATATGTAATCACTTCAATACACACTTATGTATTATGTATAATTAAATTCATTATCATTATCATTATTATTATTTTTTTTTTTTTATCAATTCCTTGCCCGATTAGAATAATATATATATGTAAAAAAAAAAATTTTACAAAATTTATTTCCGGCATATATATATATATATACTTTTAATTAAATATATGCCCCCCATATACGATACAAAATTTTATATTTTTTTTTTTTATTTATTTTTATACACGTATTCAAATATATATATATATATATATATATATATATATATATATATATATATATATGTATATTTCATCTGAGATGTCCTATAATAAAACTAAAAAAAAAAAAAAAAAAATTTTTTTTTTCTTTCCATTTTTTCTCCATTTTTTTTTAAATTGAAAATTTATCAGAAAATAAAAAATATGACGTAATATATTATTATTATTATTATTATTATTATTTAAAGCGATTTATAAGAAATTCTTACTCTTATAAAATATATTATAATAAAAAACGCGTCATTAGTATTAGTATCATCATCATCATCATCATTTTTTTCTCAAATTTATTTACTGTGCAATAAAAAAAAAAAAAAAAAAAAATTTTTTTCGGTAAATCTCATAAAATAATAATAATAATAATAATAATAATAATAATAATAATAATAATAATAATAATAATAATAATAAAGCATAAGCAGAACAAATTTTTTTTTGTTTACAAAACATTGGTTAGAGCGAATAAACAAAATTACTTATGCTTTACTATAAAAATAATAAAAATATCATTTGCACAGTCACGTATCAGTAAATCAAATTTATGTATATTTAAATAAAAATAAAAACTTTGATTTACTCTATTATTAAATTAATAAATAACTAAATAACAAAAAAAAAAAAAAAATACATTAAATAAAAATAATAATAATTATCATTATTTTTCTTATTTTTCTTTTTTTCCCTTAACGATGATTATTAAAAAATCAATCAACAAAATTGACTTTCAATTTTGTAAACAAACAATAAAGTAAAAAATAATAATAATAATAATAATAATAATAAATTTACATTTAATTACAAATTACATTTTTCATTTTGACTTTTACACGTACTTATGAATATTATTTTTTATTTTTTATTTTTTTTGCAAAAATTCTTATGCGGCGATCGATTTTATAATTCATTATTATTATTTTTTTTAATAAATTAAGGTTTTTTAGTATTTTTTTAAAAAGCAAAAAAAAAAAAAAAAAAAAAAAAAAAAAGTTAAAAAATTTTAAACGTGTCACTTAAAATATTTGTTAATTTTTTTTTACAGTAAAGTAAATCAGTTAAAAAACTGTATCATATGATAAGTGACTGATTTATTAATATATATATTAATAATAACCAAAACCAAAAAAATTAAAAATAATTTAAAACCATCTATCTACTTTTAGTTTTTTTTTCCTTTTTATTCATTCTTGAATTGGTTAAGACAGAAATGGATTAGCAGCAGGTACCAAAGGCGAAGGCAAAGGATCGCTCCCGAAAACCGGTTGCTGCCTTATTTGATTTATCGAAGGCTTGGGAGGAACTTGCTGCGGGAAAAAATTTGAAGGCTGACCTCCTCCTGCTCCCTGTAACGGCACCTGAGAAATTCCAGCGAACGGATTTGCCATTGAAACTGGTAAAGGCGTAGCTTGAAAAATAATAAATAAATTTAATCGTCATCGTTATTAAACTTAACAATTGAAATTTTAATTTCTCGAAAATAATTTTGCATTGAAATAAATACCTTGCTGAGATGATAAATCGAGTTTAGACGTTACGGTTACCAAATTATCTAGATTAACTAATGATGAATTTTCACCGAGAAATGCGTGAGGCGATTTTTTTTGAGGTTTCACTTCGTTGGCATTTTCTAAATTTTTTACATCAAATGGATCAGGCGATTTAATTCCTAAAATTTTTTTTTTTTTTTTTTTTACAAAACAATAATTATTTAATTAATAATTAAAATTTAATTTAATTGTATTTATTAATAAAAAAAATTTTTTTTTTTTTTAATTACCGTTGTTGTTCGTTACGTTATCCGTGTTAGATGATGGTTTATCTCTGTTTGCAATAAAATCAAAATCATCTAAATTGTTCGGAGAAGAAAGTTGAGGACTTGAATTATATGTGTTTGGACTCCATGGGTCCACTGTTTGAGGTTTTGGAACTGGAGAAACTGATTTCCAAGGATCGTTCGTAACGGGATTAGGGGATCGTCCCGTAACAGAAGATCTAGGCTCCGTTTGTATCGGAGCCCAGGGATCGACCGTAGCTGTTGGAGATGTTTTGCTAGCACTTGATGTCGAACTACACCAAGGATCAACCTAAAAATTATTAACGTTTTATTAAAACATTAAACATTATAAATCTTTTTTTTTTTTTTTTATTGTTCTTACTCGATGAGTAAGAAAAAAATTACCTGAGCCTTTTGAGGAGGAGGAGGTACTTGCATTCCCCACGGATCAAAGGTAGGTTCCTGAGCACCTGAGCTGGTCCCGCTTAAGTTAACATCTAACAAATCTAAAACGTGACTGTTGTTTTGCGGAGATGTATTAGCTCTAAAAATTATATATATATTTAATAAATAAACTGATGTTGAGATGTCTCACAATTTGTAATATTTTCCCAACAGTAAGAAAAAAAAAAGAAGCAAAAAACTAACTTAAATTCATGCTGGCTTTGAGACAAGGCTAATTGTAGCCTAACATCATCACTTTTTCGCCTTTGTTCCTCTTGTTCTGCTTCTTCTCTGCTCATAGCCAAAGCTAATTGAAGCTGTAATTCTTCTTCACCCACCGTTTGTGGCCTTGCATTTTCTAATTCTTTGCTTGTAAGGTCGTGACTAACAGGTCTTTCATGTAAACCTTTCCAAGCATCAGGATACTGCACACAAATATTTTTTTTTTAATGTACAATTCTTATTTAAGAATTTAAAAAAAAATTTTTTTAATTGAATTAAATCTACCATAGCTCCATCGCTTCCAAAACCACTCGCTGTTTGGGCAAATCTTTCTTTAGCTTTTAATGCTTTAGCTCTTTCATTTTTCAATCGTTCTTCATCTTTTAATAAATTAACCAATTGTTTTGCTTTTTCTCTGACATTTATTCCTTGATCTTTATTTTCTTCATAATGCTGAAAATCTTTTAACGTTTGAATTGCATAAATATTTTCTTTGCACTGTTGACCAACCTAAAAAAAAAAAAAAATACCGAGTAAGTAAAATGTCATAAAACAAATTATTGCAATAATTTAAAAAAAAAAAAATGATAACTAACTTTTTCCGAACCAGTTTTAATTAGATACTCTAATAAAACTAGTGCTTTATACACATGTCTCCAATTTTTCCCATGGTCATTCAGTCTCTTCCAAATCATTTGCATAATTTCTGTGAAGGCCATAACATTATAAGTTAGGTCAGCAATTTCGGACATAAGAGTACTACTGGGTCCCCATGGGTCATTACTTGTCGCTTCTCTTACTTTTACTTGAGCATGTGTATAATTGTGGGCCAAATTTTTTATGTTCCTCCTCAAACTGCTAACATTCATAGGCCTTTCTTCTCGATGTTTTCTCATCTGGCAAAAAATAAATGAATAAACAAAAAAAAAAAAATTATAAATTCAATCTAATGAGTCGGATATAATTTATTTTTATTTTAAAGGATAATATTAATGAGAGAAATGAAAAAAGGAAAAATTTATAGCAAAGGAGTTAGTTATATAAATTAGGAAAAAAAACCTTGGTACAGGAAGAAAGGCTCTTAAGAATTTGAAGTCCTGTTTGTAAATCAGAAATCTGCAGAATGGGATAAAGTGCAAGAGTCTTCAAACATTTTTGATACTGAAAAAAATATCGAGGACAAAGCTCAAAAAATAATAATAATAATAATAATAATAATAATAGAAAAGAAGGAAAATTTTAGATCAGATAGTAAATTGAAAAAAGAAAAAAACTAAAGTCTCGATATTGAAAACTCTCAATTTTTTTTTTTTTTTTTTTTTTTTTAAATCAAATTGTTATATAACACATAAAATCTTTCATCATCATAAGATTCAGTGATAATAAAAATTTGTATTGTGAAATTCTTTATTTAAAAAATCAATTGTGAGAATTTTGAAGTAAAAAATCAATAAATGGTTTATAATCACAAGTCAACAAAAATTATTATTATTATTATTCTGATATTAAATTGATTATGAATTTTTTCAAACATACAAAAAAAAATATTAATGAAAAAAAATTTTACAATGAAAATAATATACAAAACAACAGTGAAATTTTCGACAAAAAAAAATCAATTAAATTTTGCAAAACATACTTGATAATTTAATTAGAGCTTGGTAAAAAAAAAAAAAAAACAATTTTTGACCTTTCCTATATAATGAATATTGTTTGCCAAGGGGAATATTTTTTTAGAAAATTAATAACACAATTACAAAACAAAAAAAAATTGTAATAAAAACACAAAAAAGAAAAACTAAAAAAATTTAATTAATTGACGTATTTGATTAAAAGAGAAATTATTTCCTAATAGGTTTATACACATTAATTTACATTTATAATAGTTTTGAATTTTTCATCACGAATTAAAAAAATTGTTTTTTTTCGAACCGTTATTTAAAAAAAAAAAAACAAATTTAAATGAAAATTTAAAAAATATTGAAAATAATTTCGAAATATTTCATTTAATTAAATTTTTTACATAACGATATTAAGGTGTAGACATTTATAATTCTCAGAACCAAAATGTTATCATCATTAAATCCTATCATAAAAACTAAATTTTTTTTTGTTTCATATTAAAATCACGCATAAAAACAAAATACTCACCATTTTTTTTTTTAAATTAATTAATTCTACAATCAAAACAAGAATTAATTTTTTGTCTTGAAGCAGAACATGAAAAATTTTGGTCCAATTTTCTTAAAACCTTATGACGAATCAGCAAAATAGAAAAAATGGCGACTGATTTATTTACTTTCTAAAACTACCAACTGTAAATTTTTTCTTTCTTAAGTTGGTAATTAACTGTAAATTTAAGTAGGCTGTTACGTGAAGAAAAAAAAAAAAAAAAAGAAAAAACTTTTTCCTTTTTGTCAAAATTATGGTTCTTTTTCAATCCCAAACTCGCTTTTATTTTCCGTTATTAAAAAAAAAAAAAAAATTCATATATTTTCTCCTAGAAATTCCCTTCCTCCATGAAATTTTATGGCGGTCAATAATCAGTTTTGTTATTAATTTAAAAAAATAAACTTTAAAAAAAAATTATGAGTAAATATTTACCATTAATTCTTTTAAACTCATCACTATTATTTACTAAACTTTGTTTAAATGTTTAAATTATATTCTCTTTTTGTAAAAAAAAGTGTTTGTGTTCAAGGTAGTGTTGTGTTATTATTATTATCATTAAATAATCGCAATGTTTTGTTTTTTTTAATTTAAAAAGGTATATATCTAAAAGAATTAAATTTTTATTTTTCTTCTCTTTTGAACCATAATCCATGTTATGCACATTATTTAAATTTTCTATTTTACAACATTAAATGAATAAAAATAATCGATTATTTATACAAAATTATATAATTATTGGTTTTTTTTTCTGCTTCCCAACATTCTTTATCAATAATTAAATTAACGTAACAACATTCTATTTGCTTAAATTAAAAAAAAAAAA